CGGGTTATTTATTACTTCGACACTCCTGCACTTGGAAGAAGACATCAATCTTTTGCTTGTATTATAGGTCTATGTCTTACCTTTCCATTCATATAAAGTAGACCTAAATCCATGATGTGACCCAATTACCGAACAGTGTTTCGGTTTGAACTGCACCAACATCTCTTTTCTAACTTTGACCATCTCTTTGTCTGTTCAATTTCAATACTTAAACTCATCAATCAATTCTTTCATTTATGTGATAAATCTACATTTAAGATGAACATTTACCACACATTAAAGGTGTCTTATATTATTAGATATGTTATTATAAAACATACTTTAGTTAAGAAGTTATTGATACTTTAAGTGTAAAATGATGATATAAAACCATGATAAAAATACACTTTTAAGTACTAATCGTATACCTATCAAGCTCTTAGAGAAATATATCTTATCAATTTGTTAATTTCTATCATTTAAAGATATTAAGTGATAAATAGTCTCTATCCTTTAATGCTAAATATTTAAATAAAAATAAACACATATACAAGTGAAAGCTTTAATAGATTTGAAAACATTAGCAATAGTTATTAAGATCAATCCTGGCTAGTTAGTCTTGTTCCTTTGCTTAAGAGAAGCCATTATTTATATAGCACACTAACTAATATGATTTTTCTATGAATCACAGGATGCATGACTCTAGCAACCAATTTATGCAAAAATAGTTTGAAATAATCAAATGAGATAAATACCTAGTTATAACATTAAATGTTTTGGTATTATGAATAAAAAAATAACATATTATATTTCAAAAGATAATCCTGGATATCTTCTCAATAAACATATCATAACTATTTATAGAGTTAAAAAATATCATATATGAACTTACATAAGATGGTGATAGGATGTTTATTGATCATATTTGTTATATGATAAATTTGGCCATAAGTTATCTTCCCTTGAGGTAAGATTGACATAAGATTCTCTCATCATATCTAGATAGATGTCTATTTGAATCTTAGCAAAGCCTGTCCAACTAGAATTCACAAAGATTTTTAAAACACCTGAAAATTTCATCAACTCATGAAAGACCACTAATTAACTTTTAAGCATTGGTCCTTTTTAGAGGCTAATAATGTTGTTATCATAAGCTACATCTAACACAAAAAAGTCATGCCTAATAAGAGGACTTGAAAACATTACCATGATAATGAAGGAAATGTTGTTGTCTTAGCTAACCGTGAGCATTATTTGGGAGTTCAAAGTTGTTCCTTCATTTTTAGTTTTCTTTATACTTAGAGGCTGAAAATTTTAACCTCCTTTTAGCTTTAAACTTTAGTCTTGGAGGCATGGTTAAGCAACACAAGTTTAGGAACCTTCAGAGTTTTAGTAAGAGTGAGACAAGAGGTGTTGGAAAGAGTGGGTAGTTTAACTAAGTAAGAAGAATTGATATGAATATAATTTTGGCTAAAAATAGAAGGAGAAAATGAAGTAGATGAAAAGATAAATGATGGAGTACTATTTATATCTAAGTGGAGTGAGAGTGCAACATATTTTACAGCTTGAAATATACTGCAAAACAAGTATAATACAATTAACCAAGATAACAACAATGACAGTCCAAGATGTCCAATTTCTCACCTTGTTTTGTTTATCAAAAGAGTTTTCTGGTATACATAACCCTTATTTTTTAACTAAAATTTACCTGTGTAATTTCCTTCATGTTTATTCATCTAGTATACCTAATGTCTGCAACTTAATTCTTTAATTGCATATACTTTTCAAAGCTAGATTATGAAAAAACATACTGAATACATTTTTTGTGCTCTTACCTTTTATCATTATGATCAAATTATACAAGATATGATGCATGTTATTCATAAATTACAATAATAACCATACTAAGATTATGAAAAAAATATATATTAAATGACTACCAAATAAAAAAGAAAAATTAACCAAATGACGTTTAAAAGTAAATTTGAGTTCAATGAAAGTTATCAATTGCCAATTCAAGTCGTAATAAGCAAAATTGATCTTCATTAAAGGGTTTGTGGAAGATATCCTCCACTATATCGTCTATGGTCTCAAACAACTGAAATATCAACTTTTTGCATAGATCGTTGATAATGTGATGCTAATTTCTATATGCTTGGTCCTAGAGAGTTGGATGAGGCTTTTGGTTAGGTTTATAACACTAGTATTATCACGATATATTGAAATATGATACAACTAGAGGCCAAGGTCTTCAATATTTGGTTCATCCATAAAACCTAGGCATAACATGGTCGTGAAACAATACATTCAGTTTTTGTAGCGAAAGTGGCAACCAAATTATGTTTATTACTAGACTATGATATTAATGAATTTTCTAGAAATCAACATGTAATGATAGCACACTTTTAATTGACAATAAAACAAAGTTACAGTATGAATAACTTATAACATTCATATTTTTTATTTGACGGTACTAAAGATCTAATTCAAAAATGTCTTTAAGATACTTGAAAATTCTTTTAACAACATTAAGGTATCTCTTTAGAAGTAGCTTAAAATCTAATACTTAGACATGCACTAAATATGATATCAAAATGACTAGTAATTAACTATCTAGGTGGTGGTTAAGAGGTAAGAATTTGGGATTAAGAAGTTTGTTCCCTCTGTAGTTTCAGGTTCGAGTCCTTAGTTGCTCATATGATGGGTACTTGAGGCTTACATGGTCATAAACTTCAGGACCCGTGAGATTAGTTGTGATGCACGCAAGTTAGCCCGGACACCCACGTTAATCTAAAAAAAAAAAATATGACTAGTAATTAAATATAACAAGCCTATGACTATACTTAGATGTCGTTTAACATCCACATATTTTCAACTTTCAATGATTTTGGTGGAGGTATACTTAGATGTCGTTTAACATCCACATGCTTACTATTTTCAATGATTTTGGTGGAGGTGCTCATTAGTGTTAGACTTGTTCAAAGTGTTTCCAATCCAAAAATTTTGAAAAATTTCTTGATATACTTAGATTGATTGATAAAAATTCTATCTTCATTTGATTTAATATTAAATAATAAAATTTAAAAATATTATAAATGAAAAAAATCTAAAAAATACTTGTGCCAATTTTCTCACAATTAAAGTTATAAACATGGATAACTCTGTATAATAAAAAAATTATAAAATTTAATTTAAAATAAATATAATATTAAATAATAAAATTTAAAAAAAAAAAAGATAGAATACTAATTAGGATAGCTTTAAAATAAATATAATATTAAATAATAACATTAAAAAAAGAAGAAGATAGAATACTAATTAGGATACCAGACGGGTACTGTAAGGACGTCTAACTATTATGATAATAAAAGATGGGATAATAATTAGGATGATTGACAAATCGTTACAGGATAAACAACCAATAGGAATGAAGGAATCTGATTTTCTTCCCTATTTGTATGAGAGGTTGCAACATGGATCATCCCTTGCTAATCGCCGGACTAAGCACAAACAGCCTATCACAATGAAGGATAAGAAATCATCATCTATATATCTTGGTACTTTTTCTTTTTTTTCGAAGTTCTTCATAATTCACGTTAAGGGATCTTGAATAGAAAGTAGAAACAATTCGGGCTCCCTTACCTTGTTTCTTTATATATTTTAAAAAGATTTTTAAAACAATTTAATTTTATATTTTATATTTTTTTTTTCAAATCATTTTAATATGTTTATATTAAAAATAATTTTTTTAAAACAATTTTATTTCAATACCTTTCAAAATAAAAAACACTATAAAAAATAACTGTTACTGTAATTAAGTTTCTACTTCATGCTTTAATTGTGTTGTAGCTTGTTAAATTTCAACAAAACAAACTCATTTAGAAGTGTCTTTGCAATCACTTTTAAAAATGTTTATATACCAAAATACATTAAATCAATGTTTTTTTTACATCATTTTTATAATTAGTACATTAAAATAATTCAAAACATACAAAAAAATAAATGAATTTTTTGAAAACACGAGCTCTTGTGGACCTGGAATGTTCATCATTGTTTAAAGTTTTGTGGGCATGGATTTGCTGATTTCTTCAGCTTATCTGCAGCACATAAATATATTGAATATGTATAGCTTTCACTTATAATCTTGAAAATATCATTATTTTTATTTGTTATTATTAAAAATATACGTTATTAGCCTTCTTTCACCTAAAGAAGTTAGACCATTTGTGTAATGTATGATTATTAATGTAGAATGCTTTCTAAAAATATTTTTAGCTTTTTTCTTACATGGCAAACAGTACTACATTTTATCTTTCTTCTTTTTCCTTGTCCACAGATTTCCGTAACTTCAGACAACTTGTTCAGACAGAAGCGTAACCCTGCACGACAGTTGTTTATGCTAGGAATTCATGATATCCAACTTGAAACTAAATTTTGGTCTGTCCATGATGGTGAAAAGAAGAACCAAATAGTGTAGTGACTTTGTGCTCATTTGAAAACAAAATCAATAGGCTAATGTCATACTTGATTGTGCATGAAATGTATGATAGAGAAAAACAAGATACATGAATGCTGACAATAAATTGGATTCACGTTTTCATCCTCGATGTAACATGGCAAGTAGCTCCACCTTCATTTATGGCGAAGCTGTACCCATGTTGTTTTCACACAATGGTATCCATGTTTTCATCCCTGCTTCAAATCAATAAAGCAACTTCAGTGGACAAAATTAATTCAAGGTTCATGTTCACCATGGGTGAAATCAAGCAGATCATGATAAACAGCCACTTACAACGGTTAAATACTGGATTTGCTCCTCATTTTTCTGCATGCTCTTTGATTTCAGTCAGTTGCTGGGTCCTGAACCATAACAGAGTTTGTAACTAATAATGGAAGCTATACAACGAAAGTTATTCAAAATTTTACAGTGACCACAATCTGCCCACAGTTGCAAAGGTTGCTTTGTTGAACAGAATACTTAAGATGGCAAATAGCTCACTGATGCAGTTTCAGTAGATTGGTTCAAACATTGACAAGGGAAACCGCTAACAAATGAACATGGGGTTTCAACTCGGATGAGAACTCCATCAGGGATCAAGTCTAGGAGTTTATCATGTAAAGTTTCAAGAGAAAGTTGGTTCATACCTCCAAAAGACTTTAAACTTGTGATCCAGATTCGATTGCCTATATCTCCTAAGTTCAAAAGTGCTTGCCTAGTATCAAGGCTTCAAGCATGGTACAATCACCAACAACGATCATACTATAGCATAAAAACCTAACAAGGATGGAACTGAACAATCATGCAGAAGATTTTCACTCGCTCATACACAGATCAAAATTTGATTGAGCTTCTAAACTTCAAAAGAAGCGGTAGTTACAAACAAGTTTTCGAGCCATTAAAAAAAAAAACTAAATATCTTTTGCATCTGCTCTTTGGTTTTCAAAAGCCATGCATTAATGAAAACTAAGAAAGATGAAAAGGAAGTTTGCTAAAACTTGAATTTGTAACTTAAACACTGAACTTTGGACCATCATAAGTTTTTATCATGCTGGATTTGCACATCTTCCTGCCAAGTCCTCCTTAGTCTTAGAATTTTACACCAACTTTGTTTATGAATAGATTAAACAAATTAAGAGGTATTTGTACAACCCAATGACAAGCAAAAGTTATATTGAAGAAATCCACACTGAAACCAGTACTGTTGATAAAAAAAACCCTCATATCCTTATTTCCACCATAAACCCTTACACTTCCCTCGATATTGTTCTGAACCACCATCCTCTTCAAACTGCAACAAATAGTTGAGGTTTTGAAACAACTTTAGTTGTGATAAGTTGCATATAAATTTGTGTTTCCCACCCCCTCTATTTCTGATCCCAGCATCAAGAAAACAAATCATTCTAACTAGCCTGACCTATTCCATCAAGCTAATATGTACTAACCCATTAGAGACTTTAATTAGCAGGACAAAAAAGGTGTCATATAAGTGCCCACTGACCGCTAAAAAGGAAACTTTGGGAGGCGACTTTGCATAAGTCAACTCTGTTGAACTTGATTGAAAATCTAGGGTAGTTTCCTGGTTAAGAAATTCAGACAATTAGGACATGGGCTTCCCACTCCAATTAAAAAAGTTGATTCAATGGAGATCCTGGATTTTATTCTGAAATCGAGGTCCAGATAAGAAGATACCAGCAATTTTTATCCTGTATTTGTTTTCGCCTTCATCACTATACTATAACTGGATTACTCTAACTTTCATTTCTTCCACGGTATTTCTGAAAGAAAATATTACCAATAAGATAATTCATACATCCCCACAATTTCAATTCCAGTAAATTCACCACAAACCATACAGGCATCCTTCTAATTACGGTTCCATATGACAGGAGAACTCCATTGACATCCCATCTAACATAAAGCCAAGACAAGTTCATTGAACATGAAGCACTCTTCCAAAGAAATTTCATTAGAGAAAGACATTAAGCGATTACCATATTGATGTATTACCAATACCAAGACCATTGCACGTAAGTATCATTCCTTTAAATCTGGTCAGATATTCCTGCATTGCAATTACAGAGTTTCCATATGAGCATCAATATATTATACCCAAATAGACCTTTGACATTGGCCAAGACAAGTGTAATCCTGCCATCTAGAATTAACAATATCAAAATTCTTACCCGCAAAGTATACTTATCGATCTCATATATTCCAGTTAAGTCATAATCGAAGCGTTTATCTGGATCCCTCAATACTGCAGAAGAAAATATGAGTAATAAAGTATAGGAGCAGAAGTCATCCAATTGAAGACTTACCATTCTGTAGTACCTCTAGACATTGCTATTGTATCATCTATTGTCACAGCAGTTACCTTTAAGACGTCAACATATGCACAAATTTGTTTAAGCCAAAAGGGATATGTGGATTGGAAATAAGATAACTATTACTTTCTGCAAAGTTCTCTTTATTTTACAGGAAATGTGCTCTACCTATATATAAATAAAGAGATCCCAAATTTAAAATATGTATATTTGTGTGTGTGCACGCGCACACATCTTTCTCCCAAAAACTGGATAATCTTATACATAGATATGTCTTGTAAATGTTGTTTGTTATGTGTGCATGTGTGAAAATCTCTCTCTAGGGGTGCATGTGCGTGCACATCTCAACTGACAAGGGCACAAAATATAGTACATCTATCACTATAAAATGCCTTCTTTCTTTTGTTTTCTTTTTTTAAGCAGCACTCACATTTTCAATTATCCAACACATATTTCAAAGACCTTGAATAGTGAAGTTAAATGATAGAAGCTATATTTTATATGTAAATTAATAATACCTGCCTTGATTCATCTAAAAATTTTGCTTGCATCCTCATGTGCGTTTTGCAAGAAACTTTTAATAAAAGAACGCGATAATTTCTACAAACTATAAATAATGTAATTGACCAGAATGATAAGCAAGATTTCCCTGATTTTTGCCCTGGAAACAATACACAGTGTTGAGAATTACGGGCTTGGTCTTATGTGCATACATGAGAATTACCATTGTAAGCTTCGTTGATCTCTTGAAATTTGGTAGTAACTGCATTATCCCCCTTGTGCTTATCAGGATGCCACTTCTACAATCAACCAAAAATATCAAGAAATTTTCTTAGTCAATGCCAAAGTTATTAAAGAAAACGATTATTCAATCAAGAATAAAAAGCTCACTTAAGAAGCTGCTCAGAACAGATGCACCACTAACCAATGCAAGCCTTGGTAATTTAATCTTATCTTCTCCTCTGTTGCATCATAATCAACCTCCAAAATTTTGTAGTAATCCTACAAAGAGTAAGGGTTTATCATAAGAGGATGTAGGCGAAAGTGTGACCTAAAATATCCACAATGAGAAAGTATGTCAACTTATCACACAAAAAGAAAGTATTGTGAACAACAGGATAGATGCATGACACCTGAAGCCAACATTAAATGGTCCCTGAGACCACATAAATAGGAAGAAACAACAGATAAACAGGGTTATGATTTGCAATTATTCTCTAATTCCGCTACTTAACAAACAAACAAGAGGATAACACAACTTATGGGGAAAAATGATGTCCTTAACCAGAAAAGATTCAAGCATTTTTCTTTGGTGTTTTATCATTATCTGTGGTACTATAATCTGCTTCAGCACAATACTCTTTATCCTATAGTATTTTACTTGTCATATGACCATGTGACTCATAGAAACCACCTTCTTATTAATGGAAAATTCAATATTCCGTTGTCATGTGATATTCAAAAACTCATACACAGGTTGGAAGGCAAGTGCAATGGCCGCTTGCCAAACCAGAGGGAAGGAACCAACAATCTGACAAAACCTGGACGTAGATTAGAATACAATGGTTTTTGGAAAATCAAGTTTCTGGTCTCATGATTCCGTTATTGAACACCCAACACCCCAGCCCAAAAAACAAAAGAGATTAATTCTTGAATCTTTTAACTTAGACGCCATTGGTAAATATCCTATCTCATAGTTTAAAAAGTGTCTTACATTTTACATTTCGTAAATGCATCATGCATATCTAACTACATATTAGCACCTGAATACAAAATAAAGTGAATTGTTGAGAGAAAAAAAAAAGTGTGATCAGGAAGCACGCCATCATAGACCCAACCTATTAACAGTTGACAGTTATACGCAACAAAACAGAGGAGCATTTAAGATTGCAGGATGCCAAATATGCAGCAGCAAACTGTACGAAGTTGTAAGGGACAAGCTCTCATGGTATGTCATATCTGTTATAGAAGCAAGCATAACTTTATTATCAACAAGAGATTAAATTTACACAACTACGAATCAGACCAATCAGCTAGCCTGAAAGTTTAATAAAAATCCTGAATCCTTGCTTTTGTATAATATCAAAGTAATCAAACAAAGCTTCTTAAAGCTTACCCATTGACCATTACTCGTTGGAAAACAAGTTTCAAGTAGCTGTACTACAAATAATGAATGAAGGAAAACTTTAACAGTAAAATAACTTTCATTGTGGTGTAAACAAGAGCAACCAGATTCACATGTACATCAAAGAATATTAAGAAATCCGTTCAACCAATTATTATACTTGAGTAGACAAACTATTCTCTAGAATGCCCTGCCATGGATTATAGACAATCCTTTCCATTTATTATTTTTTCCCAACTATTTCTCATAATTAAGGAAAAGAAAAACAGAAATCATCGCCTTCAAAGAAACTAAGTTGGGGGTAAAAACCATGAAAATGAAACCCCAAGAGGTATAAAGGATAAACAACTGTGCACCTTTTGAGTGGTGTTTTCATTGCCTTCCATATGCTATGGTGATGGGTTTGTTGTGGAGAGGATTTTGCGCATACTTCATCTCATAAAAAAAAAAAAAAAAAAAAAAAAAAAAGAGGTGATCTTCTCAAAAACAATGAAATTCAATCTGGTTAGATATTTGAAGAGTTACAAGAGAAAAAAGAAAGAGGGTGCTGTGTGGTGGATTTATTTTGGATTACTAGTAGACGGATAATATATGGAATAGAAGGAGAGGTTCTTTGATTGCCACCACGCTACTCTTTGGATTTGTGTCTCCACTTTTTTCTTGGGGTCTATATATATATAGATATATATTTGCGATGCACGAGACAAACATTGTTGTATTATTTTTATGTAATAAATATTTAAAAAATAATTATTATCATGGCTGTTGGCACGAAATAATCTCCGATTTAAGTTTAAGAATCCGTTTGGTAACAAGATTGCGTCTGCATTTTATTTAAAATGCAAATGTAACCTGTTTGGTAAAAATAAAACGTATTTTACTATATATATATATAGGTTCCAAGCAGCAAAATGCTGCTTGTTGGCACGAAATAATCTCCGATTTAAGCTTAAGAATCCGTTTGATAACAAGATTGTGTCTGCATTTTATTTAAAACGCAAATACAACCTATTTGGTAAAAACAAAATATATTTTACTATATATAGGTCCCAGCAAAATGCTGCTTTTGTGCATACTGTTCACACTTGCATTTTTCACACACTTTTTTTTAAAAGATTATTAATTTTATTAATATTTAAAAAAAAATTATTTAAAGTAAATTAAATTAATTTGTACTGCAGTGAATTGCACTGTTCACGTGAACAGTACAATTCACTTGCATTCTTCACACACTTTTTTTTAAAAGATTATTAATTTTATTAATATTTAAAAAAAAATTATTTAAAGTAAATTAAATTAATTTGTACTGTAATATAAATAATATTTTTTTCCTGAAAAATTAGTATATAGTAAATTAAATTCACTTGTACTAAA